ACAGAAGGACCAAATTGGGGTAAAAATGGTAAACAGTAGGGACCAAGTCAGGGATTTTTTTAGTTCAGGGACTAAGTCGGGGGTCCGTACAATAGTTGAGGGACCAAAAAGGGGATTTAACCTTTTATTTATTGTTTGATATTCGAATGTTCATAACTATAATTTTAAGTTTTATTATTTTTATTATGAACTAATTTATTCTACTAGGGTTACGATGTAGCCTAATCAATTTAATATAAATTTTGTGATTTTTATACTTTCAATTAAAGTTATTTGCATAAGCAGTTTATATTATTGAACTTAATGCATTGGAAAGTTGATCACCTTTTAATTGCTTTAGTGATTTATGCATGAACTTCAGAAAGATTATGTAAATTAGATCAATAATAATATAAACCGTGTGTTAGATTATGAGATCGATAGCTAATTAGCTCACATGTGGTAGTGGAGGAAGAGAAGAGAGCTAGTAGCTCCCCCTTCTTAAACTAGAGGTTTTCATAGAATTTAATGCTCATTAGTTTGTTTAAAATTACATAGAGATAGAATTAATTTAACAAACAAGTGAAGGATTAGCTCGACTTGAGAAAGCTAGTTAATTAATTTAGGGAAAATCCAGAATTTATATTGATTGATTATGGTGAAGTCAATGCCTTAGTATCTCATATCTTGGTTAGTTACATTTTAATTATTAGTTTCTTTTTGTTATTTTAATTAAAATTCTCTCTTTTCGATTGTTCAAATAAATTTAAATTAATTATTTTGGTACTTAATTAGACACAATCCCCATGGATTTGACACTCTTTTTATCATTATATTATTTGGAACAACTAGTACACTTGTTGGAGTGATTTTAATGCATCAAGTTTTTAACATCGTTGCCGGAGATTGTTGATTTAATTAATATTGAAATTGGTTAATTGTAGATCTAATTTGAACATTTTCTTTTCTTTTATTTATTTACTTTGATTTTTTTTTCTTTTCTTTTGTTTTTGTTTTTGTAGGTCTAACTATGAATCGAGTTGTCTTAAACATTGATGTGAATTATCAATGGCTTGCATCGGAGATAAGGGCACAAGTTGAAGCAATAACTATCAATTGGGAAGCAAAAATTGACGATGATGAACTTGAACAATTTCGAGCAGTCATCGAACAACAAAAATTAAAGAAGGCTCTAATAGAACAATTAAATATCACTTGTCAATGGTGTGAATTCGACCATTTTATTTCTGATTGCTATTTTAAATGATCTAACAAGTGTATTGATTTTTATAGCCAACAGTATAATTCTTATCTCAATACATGCAACTTTGATTGGATAAATTATTCAAACTCCTCATGGAATAATGAAGATATATTGGAGCCACAATCAAGGTTTCAAGTTCAAGAAGAAGAGACATGTAAAATCTGGAGGTCCAATCAAGTCATTTGCTCAACTTAGTTGCTGAAGAGATGTAGGGTCAGTTACCTAGTGCAACAATGAAAAATCAACAAGAAAAGGTAAACACTTTACCCTTGAAGATTGAAGGACAACTTGAAGAAGTGGAAAGTAACCTGCAAAAACTAAACAAGAGGATGTCCCTAAGGAAGAAGAGGAACAAGCTCAAGTGTCATTTGAAGTGTTCAATGGGGAGTCTCCCTTAACCAAATCTGATTTTAATGATTATTTTGTTATTGATATGGTTGATAAGATTTTGCAGGAAAACACTTATGAGGATCCATTTGAGATTTTCCTTATTCAAGCAAAGGACCCAATCAAAGAATACATAAATTGCTTAAACACATCCTCATCTTCCTTGAAATCGAAGGGGACTATCCTAGAAGAATTGGGAAGGCACATCTCCTGGCCTAAACCCAAACCACCTCAGAATAATCATTGGAAAAAATCTTATGGTGGATTCAATTTAAGAGCAAGGAAGCCAAGATTGAAGAAAATGTGAGGACATGCCCTACGATCTGATCCAAAACCACCTTGGAGTGGTAAAAAGTCTAATTAATGACTATAGATTAAGCACTTCTTGAGAGGCAACCTAAGCATAAATTTTCTTCTCTTTTATTTTTTTGTCTTTTATTTTAATAGTTTAGATTTTTTTAAAATTATTATCTCTTTATGGCCCAGATTAATGCATAAATGGTTGTTCTTTGATTTTGGCTAGGTCATTGAACAAGTTTGGGGGACAAGATTACGAAATTCACATGCTTGAAGTCTCTAATTGTAAAGAAATCAATTTCAAAACTCAAATTTTCAAGTGCAAAATCTGGAAAGTTTCTCTTTTCTCTTACTTTTATTTTACATGGAGGACAATGTTTGATTTAAGTTTGGGGAAGAGAATAACTTTTAGGCATCCATTCTTACGTTAATTTGCATTCATATTTGCATGGCATATTTTTATTTTTTTAGAAATTAGGGTTTTTTTTTAGGAGTTGGTCCAGTTAGTGTCAATGAATTGAATATTCTTGAGTTGGAGATTCAAAAACTTCTAAAATCTTTTAATCTTAGAGGAGATACAAAATCTAAAAAATAGCACCATTGTGATGAAGTTTAAGTTCATGAGTATTATATTTCATTTGAGCACAAGTTTGTAGTGAGAAGTTTAGAGAGAAGACTTAGTAAGCACCTAAAAAGCACATAAAAATAAAAGAGAGAAAGAGAGAAAAAAAGAAAAAAAAAAGAAAAAAAGAAGTCAATACACAACAGTTTATTAAATTCTACTCCAATGTTTCTAGTTGCTTAGTAACTGAGGGTTAGGCATGAGACCCATGTCAACTTTCATGTCAAATGATGACTTGAAATATGAGTATGCAAAGCACTTTGAGTTTATGACTTGTTGAGTAATTGGGTGCTTTCATCACAAATGTTAGTATTCGCGTTAAAAAACAAGTGATAACTTAGGGAATAATGTGTTATATGGTTGAAGAAAAAAAAAAGGAAAAAAAAAAGAAGAAAAAAAAAGAAAAGAAAAAGAGAAGTCGAATGTTTCGTGGCCTTTGTTACTTGAGTAAGCATGTTCTTAGGGGTGCCTCTTCACCTAATGCCTTAAAGCCAACTAGTTTGGGTGTAATTGACAAAAAAAACTCGTTACATGGGTAACTTAGAATGTCTAAGGAAACTCGACATATAGAAAAAGAGAGAGAGAGAGAGAGAGAGAGAGAGAGAGAGAGAGAGAGAGAGAAAATAATAATAAGTGCTAAGGTGTGAAAGTCTAAACTTGATCTTAATATGAATTTCCACACACACACTAAATGGTCATGGGCTAAATCTTTTAACAAGTGGTGTAAAGAATAGGATGAGAATTTTACTTTAAGTAGTGTATGAAAACTTTTAAATATTTGAGATTTTGCCTCTAATTGAACTTTAATTCCTAAATTTTCTTTGCATGCATATCATTTAGTTGCATTCTTGGATTGGAATTTTGTGGGTAGATCCGCTAAAAATCCTCACGAGACACAACTCGTCCACTAGGGTGACTTGGGGGTTTAAAAGCTTGTTGCACATACTAAGTGCAATCGTAATTCCTACGAAAGCGAGTTAAGTTTTATTTTTGTTTTTTTTGTCTTTTTATTTTACTCGATGACGAGTAAAACTTAAGTTTAGAGGAATTTGATGAGTTAATTTATATAGAGAATAATGTGAAATTTTTGTCTTGATATTATTGATATTTGGATGAATTTTATGAGATTTTACACTCTTTTCATTCTTTGTGCAGAAAAAGACTTGAATGCATAAAAATAAGAGTTTTTAAGATTAATTGAATATCTTTTGAAAGTTGAGGGATTGAATTGCAAGAAAGAGGTGCCTTTTTGGGACCTAAATGAATGAATCTTGAGTTTTGGGATCTAAGTGATCATCATACAAAATCTTAAGGACCAGATCTGTCATTTTACCATTGAAGAAATTGCAAAAAGAGACCGGAAACTCGACACGGGTGTAGTGCCGGCACATAAGTTGGGTGTCAACACCATGGTTTAAGCGTCTAGAACCAAACTTTCTGTTTCCTGTTTTGTGTCGACACATAATTCAAGGTGTCCACATGCATTCAGCATCCAAATTCCAACTTTCCTATTCTATTCCAAGTCCTCCTACTTTTATTTTAATTAGGGTTTCTAAATTTTTATAAATACCTATCCAAATTCAGAATTGGGAGAGTTTTGGAGAAAAGCTGGTGATAACTCTCTTTTGAGTATTATTAGAGATCAAGATAGAGGTTTCATCAATAATAGAAGATCAAGGATTTCAACTTCCTCTCCTCAAATTGGGTTTTGTTTAACTTCCTCTCCTCAAATTGGGTTTTGTTTTTCTTTAAATTCTTTTTATCTATTGTTTGATATTTGAATGTTCATAACTATAATTTCAGGTTTTATTATTTTTATTATGAACTAATTTATTCTATTAAGGTTATGATGTAATTTAATCAATTTAATATAGATTTTATGATTTTTATACTTTCAATTAAAGTTATTCACACGAAGAGTTTATATTATTAAACTCAATACATTGGAAGCTTAATTACCTTTCAATTGATTTAGTGATTTATGCATGAACTTGAGAAAGAATTGTGTAAATTAGACCAATAATAACATAAACTGTGTATTATATTATAAGAAGGAGAGGTAATTAGCTCACATGTGGTAGTGGAGGAAGAGAAGAGAGCTAGTAGCTCCCCTTTCTTAAACTAAAGGTTTTCATAGAATTTAATGCTAATTAGTTAGTTTAAAATTATAGAAGGATATGATTAATTTAACAAAGCTAAGCTAGTTAATTAATTTAGGAAAATCCGTCATTACATGCAATAACACTCAACAATTTGATAATCCATAAGTGAATTCAATGCCTTAGTATCTCATATTTTGATTAGTTTTATTTTAATTGCTAGTTTTTTTTGTTATTTTAATTAAAATTCCCTTTTTTCGATTGTTCAAATAAATTTAAATTAATTATTTTGATATTTAATTAGACGCAATCTTCATAAATTTAACACTTTTCTTATCATTATATTACTTGGAACGACTACAACTAGTACACTTACTAGAGTGATTTTAGTGCATCAAGCTTCACCTTTTTAAGCTCGAAATAATTGTGGCAATCAAAGACTAACTCCACCCACTAGTGTTTTATACGTGTACCACTTAGCAATTAGGACATAAACGACTAAATTCACCACACTTAATACTGTCAACAGCCAGAAGAAGTAATGGAGATGGCCATAATGAAGGAGATGATAATGGTACTCCTTAAAAGCAAATGGAACCATGAAAGTTATGAGAGGGATCTACACTCACACATAAATCTTATATACTACACTTACACAAAATCTCAATTATTCATTTTTAACTTTCAATAGTTGAGACTTATCACAACTTTTTAGATGAAAACAATAATTATCTTTAATAAACATGAATAAATTTCAACCATTAAAAGTAGAGAGATGGCTAGTTGAAATTTTATTTAAATGTGTTGTGTAAAACTTATGTGTAAGTGGATTCCTACTCGAAAGTTATTATTTATAGTTGCTTCTGCAAGCAAAGGTGGAACTTAATATGCAGTCAGCTAGCGGAGAGTCCCCACTGGCGTTTTATACGTGTACCACTTAGCAATCAGGACATAAACGACTAAATTCACCACACTTAATACTGTCAACAGCCAGAAGAA